ATTGGAATAAAGTGTTCTATTTGGAGAAATAATTTGTATAAAAATTAGTTCATATAACAAAGCTTGAAGACTTTGAGGCCTTTGTAGTCTAGCAAAGGAGCACCAGCTAAGATTAATGGTTAAATGTAGGATCAAATTTTGGAAATTAAGGGGTCTTCTTACAAGCAACCTATAATGGATCCTTTGATGTAAGATAGAAAAATTAGTTATGATTCTGCCATTAGGATTCTATACCCATTCAGTGTGGATCAGCATGTTCCTAGTATCTCCAAGTCAGGAGACTTGAATGTTCCCAGCCTTCATCTCTATTGAAAGACTTTAAAATCGTCTCTTAATGATACTTAGGTCAATGATCTCTTATTCTGAAAGCTTCTCATTAATAACTTTTTGCTAAAATCTTGAGGCCTTTTGTTTCATCACTATAATCATCAGCCAAGGCTGAAACAAATTGTATTGTGTAATATAAGCTGAAGCGCTCAATCACTGGATACAGGATCTATAGTTTCTATGTGAAAGTATATGGAGCTTATGAATTTCCTTCTTTATATAGAGTTAAGGAGGTGGAGAGATCCTTCCGTGGAGAAACTGGTCTGAGGTCGTTCTTTTATAAAGGAATGAGGATTCCCAAAGATGTCATGGGAATTGCCAGTTAGGAAGAGCAGCATTAGGAGGAAAAACACAGAACTGGATTGCTACGGGTAAACAGTAGAGGTCTGAGGACTAACTGGGCTTCTGTTGTGTGATATTGGCAGGATGTAGGTCTCGTTCTGACTGAAAATCTGATCCAGAGTCTTCTTTAAATGGAAAAGAATGGATACTTACTCAAACAGATCTATAAAAGAGATGGGCAGGTATTAGGTAAGTTCAGGGATCAAGTGGGACTCCTAAGACAAAGCCACCGCATAGCATGTCTTCCTGAAAGCTAGACTGCAGCTGTGGACTGGAGGCAAATATAAGCAGTGTGTTTGTTTATTTTTCTCTCCAACTATTTCTGCTGCTTCTGTGTAGTACAGACTGCAGCCTTCTCAGTGTTTTGATCCCTACCTCATATAATTTCAGCTTTTACTTGGCTATCTTGGCTTCTTTAGCTGAAATTTCAGATGACCTTTAAGCTTTATTGCCTGTCATCAACTGACAGCTGCCATCTGTGTTTTAGTTTAAATACGTAAGAGTAAGAACCTTGTCAATTCACCCTCATGCCTTTCCTCCCCAGGCCACAGAATGCTGGTCAGTCAGTTGGCCGCCCGGGGTTCCATTGCCCATTTCTAGGTCAGGCTCTGCTTGAGGAAAGGAACAAGTCTTGGGGCAGAGCAGATTCCCTCAGGAAACAAGCAGGGATTGAATAGTCTGTGGCCTTCCTTGGGATGTCTTCCCTACTTTAAAATGTTACGATTAATTGAAATTATAAAATCTTGAAATTTTGGATGAACAGAGTGAAGTCCTGTGGGTAGTGGAACGAGCATGGGGAGAGTGGAGGGAGATAAAGTCGGAGAGGAAGGCTGGGCCAGATTGCTAGAGCCTTTGCAGGCCGTGGGACAGAGTTTGAATTATATGTATGTAGTTATATATTATTGTGTATAAATTGTGTATCAGATAAATATACACATTTGATCAAATATGAGAAATGTATGGGGGAAAAATCTGAAGGTTACTTGCCAAATTAATAATAGCTGTGTGTGTGTCTCTGGGGGGAAAAATTTGGAGGTTACTTGCCAAATTAATAATAGCTGTGTGTCTCTGAGGAGAGAATGACTACACTAGATCAGGGTTGTGGTCAGACTTTATGTGTAACTGTAAATAAAGGGGAATATAGTCATGTGCTGTTTGTGGAATTCAAAGTTAATTAAAAGAGATGGCAGTGATAACCAGAGGAGTGAGGATTGAGACAGGTCATCCAGTAAGCCCTGGAGGTCTACCTGCTGGGCAGCTCTGCTCAGGCCTAGGGCTCAACAGTACAGTCTGAAAACTGTTAATTCCATCCAACTATTTCTTTTAAGTTCTCAGCAACACATTTCTGCACACTAACAACTTTCAGTTACAGTGTGATAAACTCTCAAAGTGGAGAGTAGAACGTAAAGCAGGGGCTCTTAAGAAGTTATTAATATACCTATTATTTTATTTTTATGAGAATGTGTAAGATTTCATATAACCCTGAAGTATAATGTAATCTGATCTGGGATAATATTGGCAGCTGACTATGCCCTAATAGAATACCTATAATATTCTGATTGATAATTTGACACTGGGTGTAGTTTTATTTATTTTCATGCTTATGGACATGTTCTTTCACATTTAAACTTAGTATACAGTACATAAAGTTTATAAGAAATTGCATATATTTCTAAGTATTTTCTTTCTTCCTTTGTTTCTTTTTCTTTTCTTTTCTTTCTTTCTTTTTTTTTTTTGAGTCACCCAGGCTGGAGTGCAGTGGCATAATCACAACTCACTGCAGCCTCAACCTCCTGGGCTCAGTCAATCCTACCTCAGCCTCCCGAGTAGCTAGGGCTACAGGTGTATACCACCACGACTGGCTAACTTTTTTATTTTTGTAGAGACAAAGTCTCACTGTGTTGCCTAGGCTGGTCTCGAATTCCTGGGCTCAAGCAGTCCTCCTGCCTTGGCCTCCCAAAGTGCTGGGGTTACAGGTGTGAGCCACCACACCTGGAGAAGTATTTTCTTAATGAAAGGCTTAAAAATTTTAAGAACTTATAAATGGCTGAACTAAGTGTGAAAAGACTTGGAGTTGAGGAAATTGTAATGAAAAATTAAAAGAATCAGATAGAAATGAGGCTAATTCTATTTAGCTAGCACTTATAGAACTCTTACTAAATGCCTGAAGTTTTTCCAAATACGTCACTTATTTCAACTTATTTAACTCTTTGATGTCAAAGATAGAGTAAAATGGTAAAAAGGGCTTAAGAATGAGAACTAAAATAATCAAATAGAAGTTCTGAATAATGTGGAAAGAGCATATAATAGGAAATGTACATATATATATTAATTTTAAAGGTAGGTACAATTCAGAATTAGGTATACAAGTGGTCATCATACTGGTAGTTTAGGTCTCCTTTTGGTACCCACTTTGCCTGATTTGAGATCAGGTACCCTTTTTTATGTTATGTGACCCCCTCCCTCCCCTGGTAATGTCCCGTTACTGCCAATCCCTTTCTTATTGTATTATATGGTAAATGTTCAGGGTCTGCTTATGAATGAGAACATGTGGTACTCAGTTCTTTGTTCCTGTGATAGATCACTGAGTATGATGGACTCTAAATCCATTCAAATTGCTGCGAAGTCCATAATTTTATGGCTGTGTAATAGTCCATCGTGTATATATACATTTTTTAAAAAATCTATTTCAGTTTCACTGGGCAGCATGGTTAGTTCCATGTTTTTGCTATTGTGAATAGTGCTGCAGTAAACATGAGTGTGCAGGTATCTTTTTTGTAGAGTGATTTAAGTTCCTCTGGGTATATTCCCAGAAGGGGGACCGCTGGGTCGAATGTAAGGTCAATTTCTAGTTCTTTTATGAATCACCACACTGTTTTCCATAGAGGTTGAACTAGTTTGCATTTCCACCAACTGTGTAGAAGTGTTTCCTTTTCTCCGCATCCTCACTAGCATCTATTGTTTTTTGTTTCATTAATGATGGCCATTCTTTCTGGAGTTAGGTGGTATCTCAATGTAGCTTTGATTTGCATTTCTCTGATGATGAGTGAGACTGAGCATTTTTTCTTGTGTGTATTGGCTGCTTGAATGTCTTTTGAGACGTGTCTATTCATGTCTTTTGCCCACTTTTTAATGGAACTTTTTTTCCTTTCATTATGTTTGAGTTCCTTGTAGATCCTGGATGTTAGGCCTTTGTCAGATATGTAGTTGGCAAATACTTTTTCCCATTCTGTAGACTGTCTCCCTGCTCTCTTGATGGTTTCTTTTGCTTTGCAGAAGCTTTTCTGTTTGATGAGGTCCCACTTGTCTATCTTATCTCTTATGGCTTAGGCTTTTGGGGTTTTGATCAGGAATTGGTTGCATATTCTGATTTCCATAAAGGGTGTTTCCTATGTTCTCTAAGATTCTTAACATTTGAGGTTATTTAGAAGGTAAATTAGAGAGAGATTGATTCACCTCTCCAAGGTAGGAGAGAAGAGGCCAAAGCTTAGGAAACATGGTAGTGGCCATAGCTCAAAGAACACATGGCCACACCAGAATCTTGTAAGGCAATGGCCAGAAATGTATATTTTAATGTGAGCAACTGACACAAACTTGGATCCTTTGTCATTACCTCTCATTTCATCTTATCCAAATATGTCTGGTATTCAAAGATGACTGGTATGTTTGCTTTCAGTGACATTTAACAAGTTGGAAATAGAGACTTTCAGTCTAATTTTTTCATTTTCTAAAACTTAAATGTTCAGTAATCAATTTTTGAGAGTTATATATTTGGCCCCATTAAATGTTGTATTTGAGAAAAATGTTGCTAATGTTATGGAATGTATGAATAAATAAAATGTGTTTATATTCAAAGCTACTGAAATATGCCAGAATATTGGTTGTGTGTGTTTTAAAGATAATAGGGTCTGGCTGTGTTGAATAGGTTGGACTCCGACTCTTGGGTTCAAGGGATCCTTTTGCCTCACAAGTAGCTGAGACTACAGGCACTTGTCACCATGTCCAGCTTGGTTGTGGTTTTTGATTGCAATAAGAAGCAACACTCAGTGGTTCAGGAAAGAGTTATTATTCTGTAAAGCTGCATGAGTTTTGAAATGAGTAGGAATTGAGGAAGAGGACATGAAGCATGATGCAGAATACTGACTGAAAGTGTCTTAGCTAAAAGAAATCTATTTTGGATATCTGGGATCCCCATATATTTTGTCCAGTTAAGTTTGTCCAAAATGGTGTGGTATCTAAAGACAGTTACTTGGTTGTAATTTTGAATGTGTGATTTTATGTTTTATATTTCATAATATATTTAAACCAATTTTTTGGTCTTATTTCTCTAGGGAGTTGGTCTTTCTGTTCATGGGCAGTTCCGAGTGGCTACGGAAAAGTCTGTTTTTGCAATGCCAGAAACAGCAATAGGTAAAAAACCAGATATTTTTGTTACTTTTAGAATCACTTGTTTTGATACACATCATATTATACTGTTGTTGATATAATCTTGTGTGAAATAAAGCAATGAAAAAACTTTAAAAAATAAATAGGAAGTACCTAAAAGTTTATATTATAGCACAATATTTGTGTCTGAAAACACAAAATACAAAACTGGAGATGCTGACAAGCTATAGTAATTTTAGATAAAAGATTAATGGATTGCATTCTTGCATTTAGATCTATGATCATTTTGAGTTTATTTTTGTATATGGTAAGAGGTACAGATCAAAGATGTGAATCAAAGTTTATTATTTTGTATATAGAAAGAAAATCCATTCTAGTGCCACTTGTTGAAAAGGCCAGTGTTTTGCCACTGAATTATGTGTTTACCTTTGTCGGTTGTCTATATATGTTGAGCTTGGTGCCAATACCACACCATCTTGGTTACTATTACTTTGTAGTAGGTCTTGAAATCAGGTAGTAATAATTTTCCAACCTTGTTCTTTTTTCCCTCAATTTGTTTTGGCTATATAGGTCCTTTGTATTTCTATATGGATTTTAGAGTGAGTTTGTCAATTTCACCAAAAACGCCTCCTGGGATTTTGATTTTGATTGTCTAGAATCTATATCAATTTGGGGAGAATTGACATCTTAATAATACTGAGTCTTCAGACCCATGAGCAAGGCTTATTTCTCCATTTATAAAATAGTCTTTAATTTCTCTCAGTAAATTTTATAGTTTTCAGTGTATAGGTCCTGTATATCTTTTGTCAGATTTATCCATAAGTATTCCATATTGATTGATAATATTATAAATATTTTTTAAAATATTCAGTTCTGTTAGTTACCAGTATATAGAAATACACTTGATGTTTGCATTTACCTTGTATCCTGAAAACTTATTACAGTCACTTATCAGTGTTAGTTGCTTTTTTGTAAATTCCGCTGAAATTCCTAAATGGACAATTATGTCAGGACAATTATGTCATGTACAAAAAAGGTCAGTTTTACTCTTTCTTTACTTTTTATTTCTTTCTCTTGCCTTATTGCACTGTGTGTGTGTGTGTGTGTGTGTGTGTGTGTGTATGTGTATAGAACTTCCTTTTTTTGAGTTGGACTCTCACTCGGTCACCCAGTCTCGACCTGCTGGGCTCAGGCGATCCTTCTGCTTCAGCCTTCCAAGTATCTGGAACTACAGGCATGCACCACCACGCCCAGCTATTTTAAAAAATTTATTGTTGAGACAAGGTGTTGCCATGTTGCCCAGGCTGATCTCAAACCCTTGAGCTCAGGCAGTCCTCCCACCTCCTCCTCCCAAAATGCTGGGATTACAGGCATGAGCCACCGCACCTGGCTACAATGTGTAGAACTTCTAATACAATGTTGAATAGAAGTGGTGAGAGCAAATATTCTTCCCTTGTTCCTGATCTTAGGGGAAGGTGTTCAGTCTTTCACCTATTACGTTTGATATTAAGGTATAGATTTTTCATAGATGCCTTTTATCAGGGTGAGGAAGTTTCCTTCTATTTCTATATTGCTGAGGGCTTATTTTTTAAATTAGGAATGGATTTTTGTTTTTGTGAAATGTTTTTCTCTGTATCTTTTGAGATGATAATTGGTTTTGTTTGTTTGTTTTTTAAGTTTGTTGATGGTGAATTACTCTGGCTTTTCAGTATTCAACTAACCAGGCACTGCTAGGATAAACCTCACTTTGATATGATGTGTTATCCTTTTCATATATTGCTGTGTTTGCTTTTCTAAAATTTTATTTGTAATTTTTACATCTTGTTTTCATGAGGGATTTGGTCTGGGATTTTTCTGTAAAGTTCTTATTTTGTTTGAGTATTGGGGTATTATTGGCTTTATTTTCTGGAAGAATTTGTGTAGACTTGGTATTTTTTTTTTTTTTTTTTTTTTTTTTTTCTAATCTCACTCTGTCACCTGGGGTGGAGTGCAGTGGCATGCTTATAGCTACTACAGCCTCAACCTGCTGGGTTCAGGTGATCTTCTGCCTCAGCCTTCCAAGGAGCTGGATCCACAGGCATGTGCCACCATGCCTGGCTAATCTTTTGCTTTATTGTAGAGATGAGGTCTTGCCAAGTTGCCCAGGCTGGTCTCAAGCACCTGGGCTCAGGTAATTCTCTCATCTCTGCTTTCCAAAGTGTTGGGATTACAGGCGTAAGCCACTGAGCCCACCAGTATCATTTTTTTTTTTCTATAAATGTTTGGTAGAAGCTACCAGTGAAGCCATCTAGGTTGGGAATATTTTTTATGGGAGGGGTTTTAATTGTAAATCCAAAGTCTTTAATAGCTATGGGGCTGTTCAAGTTATCTATCTCTTCTTGCATATACTTTAGTAATTTGGGTCTTTTAAGGAATTTTGGCCAATTTATTGGCATAACGTTGTTCATAATTGCTGTGATTTGTATGTATCCCCAAAGTTCATATGTTGGAAAGTTAATCCCCAAATCATCAGTGTTGGGAGTGAAATTTAAGAGGTGAGAACTCTGCCCTCCTGAATGGATGAATGTTATCTCAGGAGTGGGTTAGTTATTGGGGGTTGGTTCCTGATAAAAGGATGAGTTCAGCTCCCTTCCCTCTTGCTCTTTCATTCCTTCTCATCCTCTTGCCTGATGCCAACACTGATATTGGACTTCTCAGCCTCCTGAATGTGAGAAATAAGTGTCTTTTCTTTATAAATTACCCCATCTGTGATATTCTGTCATAGCAACTTAAAACAGAGTAAGACAATAATATGTCCTTATTATTTTTTTAATGTGCAGTCTATAGTGACGTCTCGCTCTCTTGTTCCTGATAATGATCATTTGTGTCTTCTTTTCTTTTTTCCTGAGCAGTCTTATTAGGTTTACTAATTTTATTGATCTCCAAAAACCAGATATTTGTTTTCATTTATTTTCTGTTTTGTTTCTTTCTGCTAATACTTACTAATTACTTTCTTCTGCTTACTTTATTTTATTTGTTCTTCTTTCTGTAGTCTCTTCAGAGGAAAGCTGAGTTTATTGTTTTGAGACCTGAGTATAGAACTCTATTTTTAATTGCAGTAATTTAAAGATGTTGCTACACTGTCTTCTTGTTTACATTGTTTCCTGTGAAAAACCTTCTCTCATCCTTGTCTTTGTTCCTCTGTAAGTGTCTTTTTGTTTTTTCTGGCTGCTCATAAGACTTTCTCTTGATCACATGTTTTGGTCTATTTTATTATGATGTGCCTTGGTGTACTTTTCTTCATGTTCCTAATGCTTAAGTTTATTGAACTACTTAGGTTTGTAGTTTTTGTCAAAATTGGAAAATTTTCTTCTATTTCTTCATATACTTTTCTTCCACTCCCTTTTGAGGCACTCCACTTACATAAGGCTCACTCATTTATTTTTACAATTTTTCTTTTGTTTTTTTCATTTTAGATAGTTTCTATTCCCGTGTCCTCAAGTTTATTAATCTTTTCTTTTACAAGTTTGAATCTGCCCTTAATCTCATCTAGGTATTTTTTAGCTTTATACATTCATTTCAGCTTTCATCTCTAGAAGTATGATTTGGGTCTTTTTATTAAAAAAAAAAAAAACTCACAGTCTCTATTTAACTTGCTAAACATATGGGATATGTTTATGATAACTGGGTTAGTATTCTTGTCTAATTCTCATGTCAGTTCTGAGTAAATTTTTATTTATCACCGTATTATGTGTAGTATTTTCCTGCTTCTTTAGATAGCTGGTAATTTTTTAGTGGATTTTAGACATTGTAAACTTTACCTTGTTGGGTGCTGGATATTTTTGTATTCTCATAAATATTTTTGAGCTTCCTCCTGAGATGAATTTAAGTTCCTTGGAAAAATTTTGATCTTTTCAGGTGTTTTGAGTTTTGTTTTGTTTTTAAGATTTTTATGCATGATCGGAGCAGTGCTCTGGCTAAGGCTAATTATTTTTCTCTCCTGAGGCAACATCCTTTTTTGTAGTCCACCCAGTGCTCCATGAAACATGAATCTTCCTAGTCTGGCTGGTAGAAACATGCACTGTTCTCAGCCCTGTGAGGGTTCTCAGTACTGTTTTCTGTAGTCCTTGCCTGTGACTCTTTAGCCTCAGATAGTTTGCTCACACAGATACATATATATATTTACCAGTCCTAAACTGAATACTTAAAGGAGACCCTCTGCACTTCTCTCTCTCTCCCTCTCTGAAACTTTCTCAAGACATTAAGCTGGAGCTATTGTAGGGTTTACCTTGCTTGTTTTCTGATATTCAGGGATCAGTTTTCTTTATTGCCTGATGTCCAGTGTGTTGAAAACACTGTTGCTTCATATATTGTGTCTATTTTTATAGTTTTTTCAGGTGAGAGGCTAAGTCTGGTGTCTGTTACCTCCATCTTGTCCAAGTGTAGGTCTTCCTGATGTTTACTTATAGATTGAATAATTAAAGAGGCTCTCAGAGGAGATGTCTTTTAAGCTGAGATTTAAATGGCGAGAAGGAACCAGCTATATTAGGATCTGAGAGCAGAATATTGTGGCATTAGTTCAAAGACCCTTAGATAAGAATGAACTTCATCTGTTCAAGGAACCAAATACAGGCAACTATGTCTGAATCAAGAGCAGGATTGATATAATATGCTCTTGAATAGGTACATGAGGGCTCTTGAAGAGGTCCACAGAAGTCTCAGATGAAGAGTTTAGAATTAAACCTAAATATGAAGGAAGACTGTAGAAGAGTATAAAGCAGCGGCTGGTTTATATATTTATGTATTTTTTGAGTCGGAGTCTCACTTTCACCCAGACTGGAGTGCAGTGGCGTGCTCATGGTCACTGCAGCCTTGACCTGCTGGACTCAGGCAGTCCTTCCACTTCAGCCTTCCAAGTAGCTGGAACTACAGGTGCATGCCACTACTCCCAGCTAATTTTTGTGATTTATTGTAGAGAAAAGGTCTCACCAAGTTGCCCAGGCTGATCTTGAACCCCTAGACTCAGGCTATACACTCGCCTCAGCTTCCCAAAGTGCTGGAATTACAGGCGTGAGCCACTGCAGCCTGGTTTATATTTTAATGCTATCATTCTGGTAGCTTTGAGGATAATGGATTGTAGAGATAACAGAGTGGAAACAGTGAGATTGGTTAGGAGGTGTCCAATACTGCAGCCTCTAGCCACGAGTGACTTTTTGAGTTTAAATATAAATTAATTAAATTTAAATAAGATAAATTTAGTTCCTTAGTTGCACCAGCCACATTTTAAGTTTTTGATAGTTATGTGTACTTGTGGCTGTCTTATTGGATAACAAAAAATTATAGAACATTTGCATCTTTGTAAAACGTTCAGTTGAACAACACAGATTTATAGAGGCGATTTTGTCTTAAAGTAGTGTAGAGATGTAGAGCTGAGTAGAGTGAACAGATAGGAAAAATGTTTTGGGCTTAACTGATTTGCTGGTATGATGAGTTAGGAATAGTTCCAAGGTATTTAGCTTGTGCTAATAGATGGGTGAGGCTGATTAGTATAGTTGGAGGGATGTGAATCAAAGTTGTGTTTTTGTCATGTTACATGTGAATTGCTGATTATCCACATGGTTATGTCAAAAAGGCAGATCTGAGTTTGGTATTCATAGGAAAAGACCTAATTAGATTTGGAAGTGTATTAGTCTGCTAGGGCTGATGTAACAAAATACCATAGACTGAGTGACTGAAACAGCAGAAATTTATTTCCAGTTCTGGAGGCTGGGAGTCCAAGATCAAGCTGTCAGCAGGTGTTTCTCCTGAGGCCTCTCTCCTTGGCTTGTAGACGGCTTGCTCCTTGCAGTGTCCTCCTGTGCCTTTTTCTCTGTTTGCATGTATCCCTGGTATGTCTTCCACTTCTTATAAAGGACACTAGTCCTGTTGTATTAGGATCCCACCCTTAGGACTTTATTTAACCTTAACTACCTCTGTAAAGCCCTGATACCAAATACAATCATATTGGGGTTTTAGAACTTCATCAGGAATTTTGGAGGGACACAATTTGATCCATAGCAGGAAGTAAGAAGCATACAAATACTGTCTAAGCCCACAGGAGCTGTGTGTGGAGGGAAGAGGAGATAACCGACCATCAAACCTAGGCACAGCAAGCAAGAGGTCTAAACTGATGGCTAAGAAAAGTATAAATGCAAGTTATTTTATTAGGTATAAACTAATTGTTTAGTAGAACTAATGGTTATTGTGTCAAAATTTAAATATCTTGAATATTAAATAATTGAACTAAGTTTGAGAAATGACTTAAGTGGTAATAATTACATTTTCTGTGATATAATAGCCCACAGGTTATATCTTTTTTCCTATGCTTATCATTTGGAAAGAAAATATTTTTTTCAATTTTTACCCATTTTGGGGAGACTCTTAAAAAGTAAATTAGTGGTAAGAAAATTAAATTTAGGTTACATTATTGAGTATTTGTAATATACAAAGCACTGTGTCATCAAATATTTTATTGACTTTTATAGAAATGAGACTTGAAGGTTTTGAAAAAGATCCAAATTAACTTAGGACTATTTATAGCAAGTCTTTTGTGATATGAATTGCATTATATAATATTTAGTTTAATAATATTGTAGTATTGATTCAAGGTCTAGAGAGAAGTGGCTGTGTGATTTAAAGTAAAGAGGTTATTTTTAGCTTTTCATGCGAATCGCCATTATCTCTTTTTGTTACGTTTAATTACAGGACTATTCCCTGATGTGGGTGGAGGTTATTTCTTGCCAAGACTTCAAGGAAAACTTGGTTACTTCCTTGCTTTAACAGGATTCCGACTAAAAGGAAGAGATGTGTACAGAACAGGAATTGCTACACACTTTGTAGATTCTGAAAAGGTACTTGTTTGGGTGTTTGCTGGAGTAACAACACAAAATGGGGACGGCACTGTGAGTGGTTGAGATCACAGACTTTTGGTCGACATGAGTGTGAACTCTGAATCATTTGCTTATAGCTGTGTGACCTTTGGAAGGTACATAAACTCTCTAATTCTGTGTCCTCATATTCAAAACGGAGGTCATAATACCTGGATTCAGGACTGTTATGCCTGGCACCTTCAGTGAATATTTTTTAATGAATAATTAGAGTCTCTAAAAAAAAGTAATGTGTATTTAAGAAAACCTAATCTCTAAAAATCTAAATTTTTATGTATAAAAAGATAGGCTTTTATTTTATTGAGATATTTTGAAGGCTTCTTTTGGTTGTAAATTTCCCTAGTACATGTAAAATAACTGCATTTGTATAAAGTATAGTCTTACGATTTTTCTAAAGTATATCTACTACAAGAAACACATGTTACTTTGCCTTTTTTGTTTTTCAAACACTGTGGCCAATTTTCTTAGCATAGGATAACACTGTGCCAAAGAATATGTCTACAGACAGCCTGAGTTTAAATCCTAGCTTGAATTTAGCCTCTTTGGCCCCCATTTTTCCTTTCTGCAAAATTCAAGGTAGTTTTGCCCCAGATTTCCCAGCAAGAGACCTAAGATTTATTCTGCTTCCTCTGGCTTAGCTCACTCTGACTGGGCCAGTTTATCTCACCGCTAAACCTTGTGGGTGAGGAGAATGCACTAACTGGTGATAGACTGCCATGCTCAGGGCCAGGAGAGGATACAAAAGTGATAATATGCTTGGAAATGGGGTTAGGGGTAGGAAAAAGATAAATAACCATCTGTCTCATCTTGCAGAATCAAGTGTGGTAAGTGTAAAAGTAGAATACAAATAAAGTACTCGAAGGACTAGACATTTTTCATAAAGATGCCAGTTAGCTGACCCGAGGAGAGCATTGTCAGGAAAAAAAGCATTCAAGTAGAAGAAGCATTTAATGAAACTGCAGAGGCAGGAAGGCATTAACTATGTTTTAGATACGGTAGAAGTCCTACTCAGCTGAGTGTGGGACAGAAAAGTGAGGGAGCACACAGAAAAGGATGTGGAGCTGTGTTGTAGTGCTATGCCTTGACTGGTGGCCACAGTCGTGTGGAACAATTTTAATTGAAATTAATTAAAAATAAAATAAAGGTATAACCTAGATCTTTGGTCACAGTACCAATTTTGGGTGCTCGGTGGCCAGGGGGAAACAAAGATAGACATATCTGTTTCTCCTCTTCAGTTTCTCCATCTTTATCCATTCATCATAGGGCACCATGTACTGTGTGGGAATGAATCTTCATTCAGCTTCAGTCTAAATTTCTTTCAGTGACTCAGCTGCACAGACAATATCATAATTTTCAGATAAGATTTCTAAAAAAGAATATGAGTTTTAAAAAGTTTCCTGTTTCTTTGGGGTCTCAAATCTGTTTTCCTTTTTTTCCCCTTTAGTTGAGCATGTTGGAGGAAGATTTGTTAGCCTTGAAATCTCCTTCAAAAGAAAACATTGCAGCTCTCTTAGAAACTTACCATACAGAGGTAATCTTGTTCATATTCTAACCTCAGGTTTTAATTCATGTGGAAAGGGAAGCGATTTAAAAATTAGCAGCTGGCAAATATTATAGTGTGTGGGTATAAATAAATGTATTGGGAATGTACTTACTAAAGCTTGGTGGGAGACTCAGTACTTCACAGTTCTAGTTAGACAGCCATCTAATAAGATGACTTCTCTACTATGCAGCTGCACAGCTTGTCTTCCCACTGCTAGAGGACTTCAGTGCATAGCGTTGTGATTAGTCTTTGCAATGGCTTTTTACAACGCAGTTATAACATTTCTGTAATAGATGTTCAATGTTGACACTATTTATGAACTGCTAATGTGAAATTCTGATATATATCTATATTTAATGACAAAGTAATTTGCAGCATTTTCTTTTAATTTGTTACTTATGTTACATGACTTAAATTTTCTTGTAAGAGCCAAGAATCATTAAAAACACCACACAATGGCTGGGCATGGTGACTCACACCTATAATCCCAGCATTTTGGGAGACTGAGGTGGGAGGATCACTTGAGACCAGCAACATAGTGAGACCTAGTCTCTACAAAATTTTTTTTTAAATGAGCCAGTCATGGTGGTGTGCAGCTACTTGGGAGGCTGAGGCAGAAGGATCGCCTGAGCTCAGAAAGTTGAGGCTATGATGAGCTGGGATTGTGCCATTGTACTCTGGGAGACAGTGAGACCCCAACTCAAAAAAATAAAGTAAATAAAAAAGTAAAAACACAACATGACTTGTAGTTAAACATGATTATTGAATACATGCTCCTTCCCAAAACTCCACTAATTGTAATACAAAAATTTAAAAAGGCATGAATCCACAAAGGTAAATAGGAGACAGTGGCGGATATGAGATGTCAATATTTTGGAAGTTTGAAATCAGAAGAATGAGGGCAACAAACTTGGACCAAAACAAAAAAAACAAAACAAAAAACACTGAAATCTTATCCTTCAGTGGAGGAAACGTAAGAAGTCAATCTTACCCTTCAGTGAAGGAAGCCAATAAGATTCTTGCTATAGACCCTTCTAAAGGCACCAGGTCCCTCTGAAGCCTGGGGTGTGGAATGGAGCAGAAAAAAAAGGAAGATTTTTTATAAGTTTTTATAAGCAGCAGTTAGACTTTACAAAGTCCTCCATTAACCATTAAGAGCAGTTGTCCTTATAATCTGGCAGAAAAGTGGAGACTTACTCTTTAGAGAGATCAAATCAGACCTTCTGATTTGTTCTTTCTCTAACAAAGTCTGGCCAAAGGTGGGGGTGGGTGAGAGGTTGTGCTGAAAAGAGATGGAGCATACCAAGTGGGAAGACCTCTAGCCCCTTCTCTAGCTAGCTCACAGAGCTGTTGTATGCTTCCGACTCCCAAGTGATACTTGGAAGAAAAGACATTGACATTTATGGACCCTCAATAACACATTTAGGTACTTGTCCAATCATCTTACATGTGTCATACAATTGACAGTCCTGTAACTGCAATTGACATTGGATACAAAGCTTTCTAACCATGGTGCTTTGCACAGAATAACAAGCATTGTTAGGCCAAAGCAAAAAAGGCACTGAAGGAGGCAGACAATGAAGGAAGAAAGAAAGCTAAAAAGACCAAAAACTCAAAACATCAACCTGTAATTGTCATCTTCAGATAAGAGGAAAATATTTTACCTTTGAAACAACAGCAGATGTTATAAAGAGAAAAATTCAAAGAATAGTACAGGTATACCTTGGAAATATTAATATTGTGGGTTTGGTTCCAGACCAGTGCAGTAATGCTAGACACTATATTTTTTATTTCCCAGTACATATAAAAGTTATGTTTATAAGAGCATTATGTCTAAAAAAAGTACTTGCCTCAATTAAAGATTTTATTGGTAAAAATGCTAATGATCATCTGAGACTTCAGTGAGTTGTAATCTTTTTGCGGATGGAGAGTCCTGCCTTGATGTTGATGGCTGCTGGTTGATTGTGGTGGTTATGCCTGTAAATTAAAAATATGATAGCAAAAATGGAAAAAAATTCCACAACAGATTAAAATTGATGATTGAGGAAAACTCTAAGAAAGCAGAAAAGGATAATGAGCTTGAAAAGGGATAGGATGGAAAATTAGAGGTATTCTTCCAGGAGGTCCAATATCTAATTATTAGGAATTCATAATAGAGCAGATAACAGGAAGAGAGAAATAGTACAAAAAAATTACCAGAACTGCTAAACACAAGTGCTGATTGACAAAGCCACTGATTACTTGGTGCAGTGAATATGAGTACAGAGTACATGTGGACTTCATCCATTTTTATCAGAGCTTTGTGTTGTTGATGGATAATAATGGGGTGGATTATGGTGTATGGTGGCTGAAGGGCCTGTTAGGTCTGTAGAAGTTAGTCTGTAGAGAAGTCTTTTCTCAGTGATTTGGATGATACTGTTGACAGCATTTTGACTAAGTTGATTTGAAATTAAGAAAAATAGGTTAAATTGGGTAAAATAATATGAATTTTTAAATTTATAGTCTCTGAATGTAGAATGGTCTACTTAATAGTAATAATGTGAAGTTTAATAAAGATAGTGAAAAGCTTGTGTTTCAATCCAAAGCACTAAATTCATAAATACAGGATAGCAGAAATACAGCCTACAGTGGGCACAGAGAGAGAGTTTTAATTGATTGGAGCTCAGTGTAAATCAGCTGCATAAGAGATCTACCTCAGCACCAACCCAGACTTAGTTCTGTTAGTAAAGGTATTGTATCCAAAGCAGTCAAGGGATTGTGGGGTCTTGTTGCATTTTTCTGTGGTCCAGCCATACCTGTAGCTAAGGTGTGGGCCACACTTGAAGAATGACCTTGAAAAACTAGAACTTGTCCATAAGGACCTGGATTGTGTGGGAAATGATTAAGATGAGAGATTATACTATAAACACGAAAGAATTTTAGACCATGATTATTGGTCTAGAATTAAAATAACAAAAACCTAATTACTATAGTTGTTCCAGCACTTTGTACATTCCTTTCTGAGGTGCTGTTTTCTCTCCCTGGAGGTCATAGCTGCAGGGATGCCAGTGATGTAGTGGAAATTTCTAGCTTGGATGGAAATTGGGCAGGATGACCTCTCGGGTCCCTTATGATCTTCAAGTGCATAGATACATTTTAATGATAATGTACCATGCATAAATGACGTATAAGTACAAACACAAAGACATATTTGCCTTTGACACTTTTAAGACACAACCTAGAATATTACATACTACCTGAATTTTGAACATAGAGTGATATTTATGAGACTGTAAGATGTAATTTGATTGAAATTGATTTGTCACAAAGTATATCATTTAATATGATGAATTATTTAAAATTTGAGTTACTTCAAATTTATTGAAAGTTTTTTTTTTCAAATAGTCCAAGATTGATCAAGACAAGCCTTTTGTACTTGAGGACCACATGGACAAAATAAACAGGTACTTAAAACAGATCTCAGTTATATATATTCTTTTGGAAATTGAATTTGCTAGCATTGTGATTACATTGTGTTTGATAGTGCTCTGAAGTCTCAGATCGGATAGCATAGTGCTTTTATGTTCACTTATCTTCGAAAGTAGCTTCTTTCCCACTCTTTCTGGGTAAAATAAATGCATTATATTTAAGTAGTCTACTATGCTTAGCACAAAATGTCTTTTTTTAAAGTGGAAAAGAGAGGTTAGAAAATAATAAACTTATCTTTTATTTTCATAAGATCATCTTCTCTGAAGGTCTTATCAAGTCAATCAGCAAACAGGTTTTGTGCAATGTTTTGAGAGATGGACAGACTGGATTAGTGAAACAAGAGGAAGAAAACTATTGGAAAATAAGACAACTATCTCTTCATTTTAAAAGCACCAGTTTTTTACAGTTGAAATATTTATTTACATGTCAATATAATAGATGTCAAGAAAGCAAAAGAGGACAATTTAGGTTTTATTTTGCATTAGCGAAGGTGGAGTGCGAACGCTTTTTCAGAGATGCAATGTTTAGTTCATCATCCTGTGAAAATGGTTGGACAATTCTGCACAATTGAAATGGGGGTGGGTGAAAGCCTGTGTCCAGATTCATTGGTATGTTAGAAATGGGAAATCACTTGTACATTGGTAAAGTCATGTGTTTCCTTTTTTTATAGTTGTTTTTCAGCCAATACTGTGGAACAGATTATTGAAAACTTACGGCAAGATGGTTCATCTTTTGCCCTAGAGCAGTTGAAGGTAATATTTGGATCCTTTCTGCCCTAATTGAGCATGGTGAAGTCTTATGACAGGGAAGCATATCTGAAGGATATCAGTGCTCTGGGTTGGTGACATAACCCACTGCATTGTTTTTTTTTTCCAAGTTCAGGTAAGCTTCAGAAAGCAGTTCCACTAACCTTGACCTACACCCAAGTGCTGTGTCTAACTGCTGGTTGTTGAGGGCAAACCCAAGCTGGTTTTATGTCCTTTGAATGTAACAGAGAAGGATTTTAGTAAGCATGTGTCATTTCTAAATACGGAAGTCCTCTCTGTCCTTAGGCTTTTCAGGAATTCCTGTTTTATTTCTGCAGGTCCCAATGATCTAATCTATGCGGTTTAATTTGCAACTATGTATGTTGTGCCTTGGAGGGTCCTTTCTCTCCAAGATTGTCTATGAGGAAAGACTCCTTCTCTTCCCCGCTCCCTCTCCTCTTCCCCCCGCCCCTTCTTTCTTCTTTTTTTAACTTTCTGCTTAGTTTTTTATTTAGCTTAGTGTAAAGGTCCAGTTCATCAACTCATTAGATTGGTCAAGGCAAGACGTTTGAATCACACAACAGGATTTAAAAATCAGTTGGTTTTTTGTAGTTCTCTGGTAATCACACACACATACACAAATTTATACAGTATTCTGGATATAGGATTTTCCTCATAATCTTTTATAAGGCACTGTTCACAATCTGCAGTGCTGACATGACCAAATTAGAGATGTCTGATAAACTCTTATAAAGTACTTGGGAGCTTCAGCTGTATTCCCAAAAAGGCCAATTTTAAACTTTAAAAAACAGAAATTCATCTAAGCACAAGCGATTTAATATACATCTTTGAAAAAAATTCAAATTATAACTCAGTTTGCTACTTTTTTCAAATATGACTAAGAAAAAGCAGTATAAGTACTAATGTCGACCATCCCCCCCAAAAAAAATTAACTGGATGAATTGGGGGAGAAAAAAGCTATACAGTATTATTGCACTCTATGAGTGTGCAAAATTCCAAAATGTGCCAATACTAAAAAGCTATCTTGCATTGAGGTTTTCCAAGAGGTATAATGAGCCTGCCAAGAAAGTATCTGGTCTTTACTAACAGCTTGCTGTCTTCAGTACAGGCCTTCATAATGTCAGTCATGCTGCTCTTGCAAAAATTCCTTAATGTAAAAGAGTTTTCAGTGCTAATAGGTGGAGCTATGATCGATGATGTGAGATTGAATCCATATGCACATTGAGCTTTATTTCATTGTCAAGAATTTGAATAAGTCACATGGATGGGAGGTGACCAGATTCCTGCTTAGACCATATAGGTACAACATTTAAAGTTATCTCAGATGCACCTGTTGACATACACTGGTTCTTAATTTCTCAATCATGTTGCTCAGGAAGAAAACCATCATACATGTATAGACCTTATTTTTTTGATCCCACTGCCAGATGCTAGAGCTTGCATGCCGAAGAAAACAAAAGGATCCTTGCCAACAATCATTATGCCCGTTAATGCTAGTTTGAAGACTGACAGAAGAGATGCTATGTGTCTGTGCTGTTGGTTGAGGGAGGTAATTCTCTCCTTCAGCGTGGATGTCTGGGTACTACTGTCTAGTAACCCGCATGTACTTCTCAAATGCTCGCCTGTCACCCCAGGAAACACAAATCTGGAACTTGAACAGTGGCCTCATGGCATACTGCATCTTTCATCTTTTGCTGGGCACACTGCCCAGGTTGGCCAAGGCCTTGCTCCAGATTACCACCAACAACACTACCAGGAGAAACAACAGAAGCTCCATTTTAATTAAGCCTGCCACTTTGGCTGCCCTCAGACTAACAAAGTCTTTTCAGTGCATTTGTTAATCATTAAATAAAAACTTAGGGTTTTTTCTAAATTTCTTTTTAGATTTTTAAGGTTTTTACTGCTAATCACTATAGGATAACATATATGAGATTTTTTAAAGTAGCAAAATGAAGAAGTTATAAATTCTCTACAACTGATAGAATTTTCGTAGTATTTGCGGTATGGCTTCTCATACCCTTTCTTAGATTTTCCTCCGAAGTCCCATTAGATCTTTTTTTTTTTAAATAAGGTTGAAATTCCTCAGACCTCTTTTAATCCCTCTTTTTTGATGAAGGTTGTTCATGGTGTCAAACAATTCATGTAAGTTAATGAGCTATTTAAGTGTACTGAGTAATAGGTAGATTTTTAAGTGTACAGTTCCTTATTGTCAAGTGTATTCACATTGTTGTTCAACCATTCTCCAGAACATTTTCATCTTGCAAAACTGTAACTCTATCCACTAAACAACTCTGCATTTTCCCCTTCCTATAGTCCCTGGCACCCACCATTCTATTTTCTGTTTCTATATATTTTATTACTCTAGATACCTCCCCTAAGTAGAATTATATAATATCTGTCCTTTGTGACTACCTTATTTCACTTAGCATAATGTCCTCAAGTTTCTTCTGTGTTGTGGCATGTGCCAGAATTTTCTTCCTTTTTAAGGCTGAATGTTATGCCATTGTACGTATATACCACAAATTTTGTTTATCTATTCATCTGCCAGTAGGTACTTGGATAGCTTCTACCTTTTGGCTGTTAATGAATAATTGTGCTGTAAACATGGGTGTACAGATATCTCTTTGAGACTGTACTTTCGGTTCTTTTGGATATGTATCCAGAAGTAGAGTTGCTGGATCGCATGATAATTCTGTTTTTAATATTTTGAGGAATTGTCATACTGTTTTATATAGCAACTACAACATTTTATATTGCTGCAAATAGTGCCTGAGGGTTCCAGTTGCACCAAATCCTCCAGCACTTGTTATTTTTTTGTTTTTTTGATAGTAGTTGTTTTAAGGACTATGTGGTGATAACTCATTATGGTTTTGGTTTTAATTTCCCTGATGATTAGAGATCTTGAGCATCTTTTTTATATGACCTCTGATCAATTGTATTTCTTCTTTGGAGAAATGTCTGCTCAGGTTCTTTGCCCATTTTTTAATTGAATTTTTGGTTATTTTGCTGTTGAGTTGTTAGAAGTGCTCTACTTTTTGTGTCTCCGTTTTTTGGTAATGACACTGGCTTGCAGAAGTAAGGATGGTTCCTCAGGGCTGATGAGAGAAGTATCTCTTTTCCAGAGTTATAGAAGATATGAACAATGAGAGGAATGTGCTTAGAAAATACTGATTCTCTCCCTGACCCCATTCCTCAGCAAGGACACTAAGCCAAGGAAAGGGATCTAAGTAGATCACTAATCCTTAGGAGGCCTTAGGATATGAAGTCCATGGCCAGAGGGAGAGAAACGACATCAGGGAAGCAGTGTGTCCAAGTAGTATTCAGGAGCAAATGTCCAGGGAAGCCAGTGTTGCTTTGGACTAATTTTTAAATGTTTTCATCATTATTGATATGGGGTAGTCTGCTGTGTTAAAGGCTTAGAGAAAAGGCATATGAGTTCCTTTTTCAGTACTAGAAAACACATCATTCTTCAAAATTTGTTCTTTCTAATCACCAACGTGAGATTACCTATGTGTTTTATTTAAAAATACTCATTTTTAAAGAGTAAATGAAACTCAGTATTATATTTGAAGAAATTACCATACAAGAATATGACAGGCCCCTGTAAAGAATTCATGGACTGAAAAATAAGGAAGAAAGTAGGGAAATTAAGACTGCTGTCTAGGGCATAGGTGTTGAGAAAGGACAGCAAAATACTGAAAAGAGAAATTAAACCTGAAAAGATTAGTAATCTTTCTGTAAGCTTTGAGAATTACTTATAGAATGTACTATTTCAAAATAAAGTGACAGACACTTTCATTCCTGAGGAATTAACTGCTTCAGGAATTGTTCTCCTGCTATAAACAAGTAGAAAATTGGAAAAAATATAGGCAAAACAACTGTTTGTAGACAGTGGGCAATGCAGGCAACACAGGACTGTGATTCCTGAGAGAGGGAAATTTAGAATGCCTTAGCACTGTACCATGCCCAGCTAATTTTTGATTTATTGTAGAGACGAGGTCTTGCCAAGTTGCCTGGGCTGGTCTCGAACCCACAGGCTCAGGCAATCGACTTGCGTCGGCCTCCCAAAGTGCTGGGATTACAGGCTAAGCCACTGAGCCTGGGCTGCTAAATATATTTGATAAAATGATTTTATTTCACTATATGCAAGCTCTTGTAACTTAAGAATACAAACAGCACAACTAAAAAAATGGAAAAATTAGACTCTTCACCAGAGTAACTATGTGAATGGTTATTAAGCACACAAAAAGGTGCTCAAGAGCTTTAGTCATTAGAAAAGTGCAAATTAAAATCACAGTGAGATGTCACTGTGCATGGAATAGAATGGCTAATTTAATTAAATAGGCTGACAATACCAACACCAAGTGTTTTTAAGAATGAGGAGCACCTTGAACTCAGACACTGCCACAGGAAAGCAGTTTAGCATTTTCTTACAAAGTTAAACATAAACTTGCCATAAGATGCAACAACCTCACTCCTAGAGATTTACCCAAGAAAATGTAAACACAAGTCCATACAAAGGCTGTACTTACGTGTTCACAGTATCTTTAATATAATATCTCCAAACTAGAAACAACTCAGTACTTACTGATTACTGAATTACATGTTGTGATATATTTATACAGTGGCATACTACTCTTCTGTAAGAAGGGATGAGCTACTGATATTTGCAGCATGATAAATCTCAGAAGCATTATGTCAAGCTGAGAAAAGCAGACATACTTGCTGTATGGTTTTATTTTCATGAAATTCTAAAAAAGATAAAACTATGGGAACCGAAGACATCAGTTACTGGGGTTAAGGTTGGGCATGGAGAACTCTCTAGGGTGATGGAAAAGTTCTGTATCTTGATTGTTGTGATAATTATACAACTGTATACATTTACCAAAACTTACAGAACTGTGCGCTTATAGTGAGGAATTTTATCATATAAGTTATCCACCAGTAAAACTAATTATTTAAAAATTTAAATGGCATACCAAACTATGTTAAAAATCTGTTCTATAGAAGTG